GGGCGGCATACAATAAAACTATAAAAGAGTTAACATATAGAAGAATTTTGCAGCCAAGGCGACAAGGCGATATAAAAGAAATATTCAAAGCAGAAGGCGTATCCCCCCCTCCCAACCCCATCAGAAGCTTACTGGAAGGGTCTGTCTTGTGCCGCTTGCGCTCCTTCCTGACGTACACGGGAGGCAGCTTTGACTCTGGGATGGGAACCGCCTCATACATCAGACACATGACCGAGTCGATGTAAATATCATTATCATCCTGAGGTGGGGTGGGTGGAGTCCAAAGCTTCACAAAACAGCAGGAAAAAGTTATCCTTAACTTGTTTCCTTAACTATACAAGTATGGGCATGGTTGGGTGGGTTTCATTCTTTTGGAGAAAGGAGGAGAAGGAAAAGGAGAAGGACAAGAAAGAGGATTTTTTTTCATAATGAAGGGGAAGGAGAAGGGAGGAAGGAAGGACAGACAAGAGGAGGAGAAGGAAAGGGAGTAGGGAGAGGGAGGAAGGAGAAGAAGAAAGACAAGAGAAGAGAGAAGGCAGAAGGAGGGAAACTTACTGGCATTATTTCAGTTTGTCCATCTGGTCCTTCATAAAAATATTCCTGTAGTACCAGGGATAGTGGGGGTGGGGAGAGGGAGGATAAAGAGATGCTCATTCAGTTGAATGCCATGAAAAATGTAACCAACGCTTACCACCCCTCTAACAGCAAATTCAAAACAGCGAGCACAGATTACAGTATCTAAGGGGATCCCCTGCCTCCAAGAGTGAGACTCTAACCACAGAATGGCATTGCCAGCTGGAAACAGAGAAGAGAAAAAGGGAAGCAAATGGAAACGTTCACGCTGGCCTTCCTCAGCCTGCTGTGTTGGAGTTCACCTCCCGTAAGTCCTGGCTTTCACATCAGTTAGTGCTAGGCTGGAGAAGGTGGTTTACAGCAACCGGACATTGAAATGATGGCACACGGTGATTGTTACATAAAAGCACAGAAAAGTGGAAATAAAAGCACAGACAAGTGTGGAAATATTTCCAGAGCTGCAGGATGGGCGTAAAAGCTGATAAGTCCATTTACTTTGTTATATGCATCTTCCCGGGTGTAAGTGAAAAGGTCTTCCTCTTCCCCCTGCAGAAGCATTTTCTCCTCTTGCTCTTTCAGTTCTTTCAGATGATGAGTCTCCCACATCTTCTTTGCCGTTCTCACTTCCACCTAGATGTTAAACGCAAATCCAGCAAAATCAGAAAAAACATGTGTTCGGGAGAGCTCGTATTCAATGTAGCAGTGTTTTAATATCTCTGAATAAAAAGATTGCCTGGGGGGCTTCAAAAACAATGCCTGTGTCCGCTGAATGTGGCAAGAAATGTTGTCTTCCTTTCATAAGTGATCCTTACAAAAGTTTAACTGCATAATAGTGCTAGCCCTCCCACCTCCCAGCGTACAAAGAGACCTTACCTTGTTTTCTTTTGATTCATTCTCATCAGCAGAAATACGAAAGAACTCCAAATAATTCAGAGCATACTTTTCAATTGGGGTGAGCTGAAAAAAAGGCAAAGAGAAGCAATTACACGACAAATTAAAATGTTAATGGGCAACAGATTAATGTCGTTCTGGAATGGGCCATAGAAGGCCAACAAGGCTTTTAAAAAACATGCTTGGATTGCATTAATTAGCTGTCATATGGTAAACAGAGCCACAATAATTAATCAGTGAGTTAAAACTGAGAAAGTTATCTCTTCTTCAGGCACAAGTGCTTGGTTTTGAATGTGGCATAATTCTTTTAAAAAATAAATGAATGGGACAACTGAACTCCACTAACCCCAGCATGTTTTTTCTTTCTCAGAGCAGAATAGGGGTGCTCCCTGGGAAGAAACAGGCGCATTAATAAAAAAAATAAGTAAGGCAGAAGAATGGAGAGCCAGTTTAGTGTCATGGTTAAGGCACCAGGCTAGAAAGTGGGAGACTGAGAGTTCTGGTCCCTCTCTCTCAGCCCTAGGAAGGAGGCAATGGCAAACCACTTAAAAAAAACCTTGCCAAGAAAACTGCAGGGACTAGTCCAGGAGTTGTCAGGAGTCAACACTGACTCGAAAGTACAACACACACAAATAGCAAAAGAATATGCTTCTTGGTCCAGAGGTGGAAATGCACATGGAAGCCAAGGGCACCTGATCTACAACAGCCACCAGCTCCTGCAGCAGAGAAGGCTCCTCAAGATATTGGGCCTTCCCGAGTTCTGAAACGAGAGGTTTCAACACCGCCTCGGTCTCCCCATCCAAAACGTGTGGGTTCCATTCCTCGTTCTCCTCGTCCTCTTCCACCTCCTCTTCCTCCTCCTTCTCCTCTTCCTCTCGTTCTGTACTTTTGAGAGCCTTTGGGAAACACAAAGCATCCTTTTTTTCCCCCTATTGATAAGACATAACTACTTCTTACGGTTTTAAATGTAATCCTGTGCCACCACAATCTGGATTTTACAAGTTGAATAGGTAAGTTTGCTTGCGTAAGGAAGAAAAGATTCATACTTTATGTAAAACAATTGATACGGTAGTCAAGCAACTCAACTCTCAACTAGCAAATCCGAAGCACAAATGCTCTTTTTTCTCATTCCCATTGAAGCACTCTACACTTTCCTTACCTCTATAAAGGGCCTGGCGACTTTGGGAGATATGGTTTCTGTGGGAGAAGGCTCTTGAGAAAGCATGACAAATTCTTCGGCTTTCACCCGGAAGCCCGAATCTTCCATTGGCGAGTGAACTTCAAAAAGTTCCTGAATGGTTTGCTGCAGAGAGAAGGAAAGGGAGGGAAACGCTAATTCCCTCTTAACCTCCCTTGCTTCTTTGCTTTGCTTTCTAAGTCACTTCATTTCAGGAGGCTCCAGAGGAGTTGTCAGGCAGCCAGACTTTCCAAAGCCACCAGCCCTGAGCCAGCGTTTGCAGCAGCTCCCACCCAGAAAGGCTTCATTTGCTGCTGAAGCTCCTCAACGGAGCCGCGGAAAGCCTGTCGCAAGAAGGAAGAGACGACCAAGTGCTAACTGCAGGGCTGCCTCTTTAGGACCAAGGAGGAGGACTAAATGGCTCCCGGTCTTGCTGGGGCATTTGGTCAAGATCAGGGGCAATGGCCAATTATTCTCCGCTCTCACCGATTTCAAGCTACTTTTCCCCTTAAATTAAGGGGAGGATGCCATCAAGCAGGGAGCCACCCTGTTTCATCTGCACCTTCCTCTCCTGGGTTCCATCCTGAAGGCAGCAGAGCGTGAGCAGGCAACGGTTTGAAGGTTGGCACTCCTTTGTGTAGGCCTGGCCCCGTTTCTAGCACTTTTACTCAGGACTGCTGCTTTCTGACAATCCTTTTGCAGTGGGGACGCGATGGTGGGAGGGGACACTGGGTGGGAAGGAAAGCCATGAAGCTTCCTCCCTCTGCTGCCAAGGGATCCCGAGCGCCAATCAGGGGGACAAACAGAAAAAAGAGCCCCCAGCCAGTCATCATACTACAGATCGGGTGCTTCTCAGTTGCCAGTTACAGGAAGGGTCCAGCAGCTTGTTCGCTCAGGCCCAGGTGATCCCTGTACAATGTTTAAGAAACCCAAAGAGTACCTTGTGATCAAAATAGGGATACCTGCGTTAAAAAGGCCATGGAATAGTCGTTTCCCTGCGCAGCGACTTCTCGGATCAAATCCTTAGTACCGTTTTTTAAGAGTTTCTCTTCTACAGAGTTCCCGCTGACAAGCCTAGAGAAATCAGAGACAAAGCATCACTTTAAAAAAAGGGATCAAAGACAGCACTGGAGGAAACAGGAAAGCCATGGATGTTTGTTTTTTTTAAACTGCAACAGAAGCCTGAAATAGCTTCAAATGAATATAGACTAATGCACGGTTGTGTTAACATAAAGAAAAGCCAAGGGTTTATGACCAAACTGTTGATCATATGTTCCTCAAAATACAAAACATTCATGCTTCTCTTCTGTCTACATTTTTAACTGCTATTTCATTATTCATGAAATGTATAAATTATGCCACTGTCTGCAGTCACTCAGGAACAATATAAAAAAGCTTATTAAAAATGAGCAGAAAGCTAGCCATTTTAAAACAAGGAAAGGGGCAAAATCCATGCAATTCAAAATAAAATATCTTTACTGTCGGTGGAAAACAGAGCAAAGAAGGAGCCAACCATACTTCCTTGGGGAAGCACCTGCTACTGAAAAGGTCTGGTTTTGGATGCTCGCTTTTCTAGGTGGAAGAAGATCCCTTATAATAAAAGATGGACAGATTCACACGGAAGGAGCTGCTCCTTCAGCTTAACCAGTTCAGAGCTTGTAACGCAAATTGAGGTTTTTGTGCCCCCCCCCCGCCAAAATGGAAGCTGTCTGGTGAAAGGGATATAAATGGAGACTTTTTAAAAGCTAGCTAGGGAGGAATGGATGGACAGATAGACAGATTAGGATGAATGGATGGAAGGAACTACAGACAGATATGGATGGATGGAGGGAGGGATGGACAGATTAGGATGAATGGATGGAAAGAACTACAGACAGATATGGATGGATGGAGGGAGGGATGGAAGGAACTACAGACAGATATGGATGGATGGAGGGAGGGATGGACAGATTAGGATGAATGGGTAGATGTATAAATAAAGATAAATGGATGGGCAGATTAGAGTGGACAGACAGACAGCTAGAATAGGATGGACGCCTGGATGCATGCACAGATAGATATGGAGGGGGGGAGGGACAGTCATATCCAATCAAATCAGTTTATTACAGCCCTAAAGCCAGATACAAACTTAACAGTAGAGCTGTTACATTCATCTCTCTATATAAAACAGGCTCTAAAGGATAATCAAGAACACGATTCGGAGGGACAGAGTTATTCCTGCCCTTTTCTTGTGCTTGGTCTCTCTTCCACAAGCATCACCTGTAAATGTGGATGTCCTTGCACCTGCCAATCCTATCACACCACTCCTGAGCTTTAGCCTCCATCACTGGGTTTAAGTCATTGTCGTAAAACACAACGGTGTCAGCTTCCACCAGGCTGACACCTGTGGAGCGACTGTGGGAAGACAGAATGGCGCAGAAGAGTCGCTTGTCTCGGTTGAAGGTTTTCATCAGCTCCTGAATTGGAGAGGGGAGAAAGAACACGTGGGTGGCAAAAGGACGTGAGTAGGACCGAAAAACAGTAGCTGTCCCATTCTCATTGGCTGGATTTGGACTTCACACCAACCCAGTTTCCTGAACTACGGTTTACTACTAAGCTAAAAACAGTCGGATTTGCACAACAAACTAGACCCAAATCCATGGTTTATGAAGTGCGCGGCTGGCTTCAGACACAAAATCAAGAACGAATCAATCCCATGAGAGCTGAATGTTGCGTGTGAACCTGCTCACGGGGTGCATACAGGTTTCCTCCAATGGTAACCCACATATGGCTGAACTGTAGTAAGCATACTAAGGGGAGAGTTACAAGGGTAAAATAGTATCCGGGAAGGACATTCTGGAAAGGAGGAGGAAAAACAGTGAGACAGACCTGGCGCTCTTCCTGGTTAGCACACTCATCAATTCTCACGTAGGTGAGGAAGTGGAAATTCAGGAATAGTTCCAAAATGTCCAACATGAGCATCATCTGGGACAAAATCAGCACCCTTCGTCCTTCGGATTTCAGCTTCTGGAGTAAAACTGCCAGGGCTTCCAACTTCCCTGCAATGCAAGAAGAATTAGAGCTGGGAGCGTAAAGTCCCTGTCAGATGACGGACAGAGGGCGATCGAGGGTTCTCCCCTACCTGCATCGTACTGTATCAGACGGAGGTCAGGGAACGGAAGCAGTCGGGGCACGGTCAGCTGACGCAGCTGATTCAAGTAAGGCAACACCTTCTCTTTCAGGTTGTGCCGGAGGAGTTTCATTTGATGGCTATAAACAGGGGGAAGCCTCACCACGTGCAAAGATGGAGGAGCAGCCACAGCGGCAGGTAACACGCAGAGCACCCTTGGAAACAAAGCAGAAACATGGCAGATGTTTCTGGTAGGGTCCTGTTGGTGGCCCAAGTTATTTCAAATCCATTCACTGCCAAACTGAGGCGAAAAAAAATCTACCCCCTGACCAAGCCTTCCAGAGTCTGGCAATTTATAGTCTGGTCTTGAAGACTGCAAGCAGAGGAGAAGAGCATGCTGAAAGGAGATGGGCACATCAAGCTGGAGATGAGCTCAAAGCTCAGCTGCAAAGAATCCCCAATTCTGAGCAAGGCACTAAGACCAGACAGTACACAGGCAGGTCAAACATGGGATTTGGAGTTCAGCAACGTCTGGACGGCTGAAGCTCCCCACCTGCTCTAGAACCGGCTGGCTGGTTGCATAGGAACGGACGATGGAGAAGATGGATTTTTGGTACCTTACGATCATATGCAGCTCTTCAGTAGCAGAGACTGGGGAAAATATACCTAGCCTTCCAACTATAATCATCTGGGGCTCAAATCAGTTGCCTCAGGAACCCCTAAAAATATTAACTAGACAACCATCTGGAGCTTACACAATTCCACAAACACACTTGGATAAGCCCTAGAAGAATTGTTAGGAGGAAGTTCGAGCCATGCATGAAGCTCGGAATCACCTATTGATGGTGTCCCTCAAAGATTCCTGTTGCTGTTCCAGCATCCATGTCAGCCCTCGGAGAGGCTCCTGGCGATCTTTGGAAAGGCAGCAGTTTACAAAACCAGCCCAGCTCCATTTGCTGGCTGCAGTGGAAAACTGAGGGGCTGTGTTAGAGTTGCCCACCAGAGAACAAATTCTACGAAGGTCCTTTCCATACACTGGTGCTCTGGAGCAACGACGTTCATTGCAAGAAAAGATCCTGTCTAAACGCTCTTTCAGAAGCCTGTTTTTTTCCTCAAACGACTCCTTTGTAGAAGACAAAAACAATTATTCCAACAGTGGTCCCAAAGCTCATTAATACTCTAAAAATAGAAGGATAAAGACAGTATTCTACAGCTGCCTGCTGGTACAATCCTAAATTTAATTGCAAACATTTTTTAACTCCAAATGAGGATACATAGGGTGGCCTTCTATATACAGTTGCAAGTATCCAATCCTACAGGAACATTCTTTTTTTGTTTTTTCAATGATTATAACTGCATTAACCCCCCCCCCCCCCATTTTCAATGGGGGGAGGTGGTCTTCACAGATAGTGTTTTCTATAGTGCTTGTTCAACAATAACAATAATAATTCCAACAAACTTCCCCAGGTGCTGTGATTTGCTGTCATGCATCTCTGATGGATTTTTTCTTCTTAAGCCTCACTTACATCAAAAATAATTAAAGTGTAGCTCCCCCCCCCCATAATTTAAAATACACAGCTCCAACTCGAAGGAAGAGAAGAACGATAGTGCTAAAGAGAGAAAAAAGGTTTTCAAAAGGCCACGGATGAAAAAAGAAAACAAAATGTTGCATGCAATATAGCCTTTTAGTTCCAGAAAGGATTTAAAAGAGAAGTTAATTTTGCAGTGCATGTACCTGTGAGTGTCCTCCATGAATGCCAGATTTTAATGATGAAGCAGAGTCCCCCGATGCTAAATTAGCACCCAGAATTCTTCCTGGAACACACACTTAAACATAAATCAAGTGTTGACACAGCTCAAGAACGCTCTTATAAATTACTTCACACAGGATATGACTGCTCTGAATCAGGCTTTTGAGGTCATTGGTGGCATTCATATTCCATGCCCTGGCAATCAAGGGCACCCTTGCATTTAACTACTTACTAGCCACCAAAGGAGATTAGAAATTTCACCCAGGTAAGTGAAGAGGTAGAGGAGAGACCCTGCACACCTCCTTCAGCCTTGGGCTTTACTCATCAAAGGGCCTGGAAGAGAAGGGAGCCTCTGCTCTGGTTCTCTGCTGCCTGATTTATGGGTGAAATGCCTGCTAGTGATTTTCGTGGCCTTACTGAAGAGGGACACCTTGTTTTAAAGAGGGGGCGGGCAAAGAGAAACATCAGAATCTCTTACATAACTGCCGTCTGATTTGCAGGAAGTAGATGTAACAACACAAGCCACATCTCCCCAAATCCCCTAAATCCAAAATCACTGGCTGTACCAATTTCACCCACTCTTAGAAGCCACTCTGAATTTTTATTTCCTGCTATGTCTTGCAATAAGTCTTGTAGGAATCCAGCACAAAGGGCACGGCTGAACCCCTGGTTTTCTTCCTCTTCCAAGGTAGGGCAGAGACATCTCCGTGCAATGGCCCCAGGGGGCAGGAGGAAACCTTGACCGAATGAAGTGTCTCCAAGGCAGCTACTTTTGTACTGTGCCTCCACCTTCCCTTTGTCTTTTCCTTCCAAACAAATCTAACAGATTTCCCCAAAGGAAGCCACTCCCCATTTTCATTTTCAGAAATACCTCTGGGACCTGCTCAGAGCCTACAAGCGTTCTTGGAAATAAAGGGGATGTCAGAGGCTGAGACTGTCACAGGCCAGCTTCCCAGGCTTTGAAAAATTAAAGCCACCCACACAAAAGTCGAAAGGTCAAAGACGTCTCCCAGAGCCAAGAACGTCTGCAGAGGGGCCTTCTTGCCAATGGGCACTGCCTTAGGGACCAAAGCTTTATAATGGGCATTTTAAAAAAGTTTGAATGTTCCCATTTATTGTTCGTCAGCGTCGCTGGTTCCACTGCAGTGGCTTTATTGATAACTCGGGTTCCGTTGTTCTCTTGTTAATGCTCTGAGTGCAACAGCAATATAGGAATGAAATAGATAAGACAGACGCAAAGGAAGATCCTTACCTGGCTGTGTTCCTGCCGAAGTCTGCAAACCCACTGGATGCTGATTCCCTAGTGCGTTCAGAGCATTTTGAACAGCCCCAGCCTGAGGCACTGTCTGCACCACCACAGGGCCCTGAGGCCTGAGATATTGGGGCCCAGGAGCTGAAACAATTTGCAGGACGCTGCCTGGTGGGTAGAAATTTAAGGCAGAAGACGTCACCGACTGTCCTTTTAAGGAAGACCATCCCGCTGATTTCTTACATCACATCTTATGTGAAGAACGGAAGAACGAAGCTGTCTTGGATTTATGAGATTCACAGTACAAGACACAGGGAAGAAGGCTGCATCAATTCAAATCCAGTAAACAAACTTTAAGGGGAAAAATCCACAATCTGGAGATGGGCTCCTGAGATGGAAAGAAACTCCTTTCCAAATTAATAAACTGATTCTGAGAAAGCCAATTTAAAACCAAGGCCCAGGCTATCAGAGGGACTGGAGTCACCTTTGCTCCTGTGACCTCAAAAATGAGCTTGGGAGCAGTTTGGTGGCTTTCCTTTTTGCAAATTCATTCAGAGGATCTGCGGCCAGCCATGATGACACCAACCCAACGAAGCACAAACGTAAGAGGAAGAGTTTGCATCCTGAAGTTGGGATGCGTGTTTTGCCACTTGTCCACGTCTTGTCCACGTCCCTCAACTCACCAAGACTTTCCCTCCTATCTTTACTGGGGAGGGGGGGGATCTGACCAAGGAATTTACGTTTAAATAAAAACAACCTGCACTCAGCAGAGATAAGGAGTAAATGGATGCTATGTCCAATTCCTCCCTTTGTATCTCTCTGCGTGTCTCATATAAACCTGAAATGAAACCAACAGAGGCTCAATACAGGAGGATCTGACTACAGTTAAACAACCCACAGATTCCTTGGGAGGGCTTAAAGAAGGCTGGTTTCTGTTGCTCTCAACAGGTCTGCCTAACAGGAGTGATCCAGGCTAGTTAGATGTATAATTGTCCTTAACGCCTACACACAGAGGACTGTGCAAAATCCAAAATGCGTCCAAAGTACGGGTGGATCAGCAGCCCCAATCCCAAACAAGAAAATCCCAGGGATGGGAAAGCCCTGATGAGTCGTTCTTGAAAGCTGCCCACCTTGCAGTTGCAGTGGCTGTCCTGCGGTCAGCTGGCGGAGTTGGCTGTGAGACAGAGTGAATTTGTTCCCCTGAAACTGGAGCGTCACTGGCGTCTCTGGCTGCGTGATCCGGCCCTGTGCCCCTGCAATGGAAGCCAGCTGGGCTATTTTGACCACTTCACCACCTGGGGGAGAGGGGTGGAAGCACCCATGAAAAAGGGGAGGCTGAGTGGGCCATCTCCCAGGCATCCCCCTTTTCCTCTCATTTTGGTTAGTAAAACTGACATCGCCCACATGCAGAAATGTACAGAATGCAGAGGTGGTGGTGGGGAGAGGGGGGAAGTGTCATTCAGAAGTTCCACAGGTACTGCTTTGGTGGACAAATTGCATTTGCTTGGTTTCTTTCAATGCAGAACGGTTGATGATAGGGCAGAGAGAGGGCAGAAATCCTTCCACTTTCACAGGTAACAAGCGTGACCTGGAAAAACTCATGTGACACTTCAGAGAGAGCAGAAAAGTCATTAAGGTCAGACCTCTACTGCCTTTTCAAAAGCAAAATATAACAAAGATCCAGAGAGGCTAAAAGGGTTACAGGGATTAGCAATGCACGGGGCATAGTTAATAACTTAACTGGAAGGGTTATTTTTTTAGGGTGTTGCAAAGTTTGGGTTTGGGGATGAGTTTGAAGCAGATTCATTAGACCTCCAAATCCCATTGATGAATGATTCAAAAGGGCTTACTTTTCCAAATTGATTTGAATTGTCCAATTAGCAATCGTTAATTTTGTGCGGTGGGCCTGTAAGTTTATATAGCCGTAGCCAAAACAACACTGATTCGGTGAATGTATTTTACAGTGCACAGAAGATGTCTTTCACAAACACCATCTGATTAAGGATTTAAGGTTTATTAGTTGGAAGGGACATATATATATATATATATATATGTTTTGTCACCCTGCTCTTGCAATGTAAACGTGAAGTTTAGGTTCTGCTCACAAGAAGCTAAAAGCTTCTTCCATAAAATCATTTCAGGTCAACTGGGAAAAATCAGTAT